TATGGGATATCCTCCATTATATTTTTTTCGAGTTGTCTATCACTAGGGCTTTCTGAAAAAAATATCAAGAAAGATATCCCGCCCTGTCTGATATACTTTCGATATATTTGTATTTATATTTGAAACGGCCATAATTTTTGCAAATGGCCGCCTATATATATATATAGAGAGAGAGAGAGATAGATACAAGCTACGAAGGCAACACTCACTAAAACATGGGAAGAGTCTAAGAATCCCTGTTTCTATGAAGTCTTATTTTTCTATTAGTCTTTTCGTGATCCTTTTCGTTTCTTTTGTGTTTGTATTCTCTTAAAAATGCCAAAATATGAGATCCAATGGGTGCTGTTTCTAAAAATAATGGTCGAGTTTGATGAAATATATATTTTGCAAGTCAGTTTACAACAACGTAGGAGCCAGGGGGCCCCACTTTTTTGAAATTTACCGTTTGTAATAATGATAAAATACTTATATATATAAAACTAAATTCTTATATTCAAAAATAATGAACATTTAGTAGAAGAAGTAGCTATTTAGCACGACGCATACGATCGAGCAGGCGAGTGCTTTTTAATCTTTTCAAACATTTTTTTTCAGCTTCCCCAATAAAAATTATCCAATATATATGAAATAGAAATGTCGTTTTTCCCTTTGATGACACTCAAGGCTAATTAACACACTTTTCCACTATGATATCCAATCTTACAAATTTATGCACAGTAAAACATAGCGAATTTAAATTTTCTAAATTATTACTGAATATTTGCAATAGACGGTAACAAGTGAACTTCGTGTAAATACTAGTGGATGTTATATCATATTAATCACTTGTATGTGGCATGTATTCAGAAGGTACGCCATGATCACTGGCTTGAGTTTAGTCAGCTGTACAGTCCAGTTTCTGCCTCAGTGCTAGCTAGTGTCGTAGCCATCAATAGCAAGTCTGCGATGATCTTGTTGCCTTGAGAAAAAATGAAAACAGAATGAATAAATGAATGAATAATAGAATAAATGAAAAGAGCAAAGAAATTAGACGACTTTTCCCGCTAATATTTTGATACGGCTATCGATTTCACGATATTATCAAAGCCGTCTCCAAGTAATTTTTTGACKTTAGTGATGGCTAATACATCGATTCACGTCTATTTAACTTTAAGCGTCCAAGAAGCTCTAGTAACTATTATTAATTTACACCTTGTAGAATAAAAAAACAGTAAATGATATTAGAACGAACCAGAAGTACAAATACTGTCAAAMACAGACGTCACAATGACCAACCATTCGATCCAAAATAGGATAGACTAGGCGAAAAATTAATATATCAACTCTAAAGAAAAATATAACATACTTTAATAAGGTTGCTTAAAAACCTAAAATGTTCTGAATAAGCTGGACAAAGTATGTGTTATAGTATGTTCTATTCGTCAGATGACAGACTCAGTGAACRTATTTCAACTTTTTTCTGTGTAATAATCAATTAGTTTTCTTTTGTGTTTCTAGTTCAGTTACTGAATGCGGGRCATCTTACTTATTTCTCATTTATAACTATTAGAACAAAATAACGAAATCCTCTTACCTTCTTTTCAAAGTTTTTTTTTAGGGATATAACTCTAACAATCTTTGYGTCTTATTTATCAAATATAAGCAATTTTCAATCAGTTTATCACAGAACACATTTCATTTTTTTTTTCATAGCCATCTTAAAAAGCAAATTGATCTTTTCTGTKATTCAGCTCTTATTTACACTAAAAAAAWTAATTATTTTTGAAGTAGTTTGTCGACATTTATGTTACCGTGAGAACACCAAACATGTCGGATAAACAATTATAAAGTAAACAGTAAAYATCTAGGGATACTTTGATTTAAAAGACGAATTAAAAGCTACAAGAAAGAAAGATTAAAATCGAGTAACTAATGAAAGGAGAAAAACCCTGGAGGAAAAGACAAAACTAAAAAAGAATTCTTTAACGACATTGACTTTAATGAAAATAGCCAACAGATTACGACGAAGAACTGTAAAACGCCATCTAAATGTCTAGTAAAATGATTAACAAACAAAGAGTAAAATCAACTGTCTACGACTTCCATGACGCCTGCATGTAATGGTACCTCATGTAGTAACACAATCTGACATCAATAGCTTTCCTAAAAATAAATACAACAGTCCAAAGTGATGCTTCATTACAACATTCAATTTTCACCACAACCCATGGACCTCAACGTACAGTAAATAATGAGGAAATTTTTAAAAAGCCTAAAAAAACATCCAAAATTGATCAAAACCATGGGCTATATTCCATGCCATTTTGACCAAAATAGCCTAAACATATTACCCAAATCGATCAAAACCACTGGCTAAACGCCATGCTTTTTGGTTGAGGCTTGCCTGAAACAAAGTCTGTCCAAACCATTCAAATGAAAATGCGGTAATGAACGACATGTGTGGGACATGTATGGAGTAAAGGTTTCTKAGCTGTATGGCCGTTAAAACGATGCATGATGAAGTAGAGTCTGGGTATGGAAAAGTTAACTGGTGGTGGCGTTGTTCAGAGTCTTACATTTCAATGATATAACACCGATGGAGTCAATAATGGGATTGCCGTTTATATTCTGATGATGATGCTAATAAATGATAATACAAGTAATAACGATTAATAATACTTGAAAGTCATGAACGTCCAGTGGCGGATCCAGGATTTTTCAAAGGGGGGTTCCGTTTCTTAAACTGTGTATAATTCTCTTTTGTTTAGTCGATGCCTGACAAAAAATTGGCTCTAATCACCTAATTTACTATCTAGTAACGGAACTTAAAGGTAAATTAAACATTATAACAGCAAATATCTATCATTTCGTGTTCAACATTATCTTCGTGGATACTTTTAAGCAAATTTTATATAAGACATATTTCTATTACCTAAAAGATCAAACCTTCAAGGGGGGTTCCGTGGACCCCTTCGACCCCCCCCCCCGGATCCGCCACTGAACGTATCTAGATGCATATATATTGAGATATCATGCTGAACACCTTATATTACTTCTTATTTTAACTACGAGTAAGTAATTATAGTAATATTATAATAAGAGTAAATTATATACATATTTACATATTTAGCATTTATTTATAAGGTTATTAGTTGCTTTTTTATTAGCTCTATTACTGTTTAATAGTTTATACTATTTGAATACATATATTGCAGTCACTTATCAGCCTATGAGTTTTTCTATTATAGGTGTATTATTTACGACCGCGCATATTTCCACGCATGCTCGAAGTGAGGTTAATCGGAGGATCGAGACTGAGAAAATGGCTCTTTGTCACACTCACTGATAACAGAACTATAACAACCAACAACGTGTATTTTGTTTTTTTCCTCTCAGGTAACGTGTTGGTGATTCTATCCATCATATTTCACAGACGTCTACGTACAACGACTAATGCTYTAGTCTTCAGTCTTTCATTGGCTGACTTACCAGTAGGGCTTATAATCTTTCCTCTCATCAGTGTCACGCAGAAGTATGGGCCCACCATGTCTCCTAAGGTTGGGTTAGGACTTTGTCACKTGTCTATATTCATGACGCAAGTTTTCCTCAGCGCTTCTTGTCTTCATCTGTTGTTCATCAGTGCTGATAGATTTATAGGTAATATATACTGGTTATACAATGGTTTGGAGTGGTATACGATGGAATATCCTTATATTTTCTAGTATATTCATGAGCCTTTAGCCGAACTACGAACATTTCATGTGTCATGTGAAAGCATTGTATAACTATTTTATCCTACACCATTGAAAATGCACCTAGGTTGCAATGTCTGATGGRAAGGAACAGTGGAATACCCCAGAATAAACTACGGCTTTCTTGCATTCTCATTGGTGTAGGGTAAATTACAATCTATGATATACGACAAGAATTTCAGTGGCCGAAACCAGCAGAAACTCTAACTTGCAATACTTGAACAAGAAGTAGTTACAATTCTTGCGTCTTTTGAAAGCAAAGGATCCCATGTGAAATTACTGAAAAGAAGGGGAAAAAGGAAATGAATAAAGGGAAATTGAATGAAAGAAAATAAAGGAATGCAAAAGCAAAAAAAGAAAAAGAAAAAGAAAAAGAAAAAGGAGATGAGATGAGATGAGATGAGATGAGATGAGATGAGATGAGATGAGATGAGAGTAAGACAAAAAGAACGGGAAAGAAAGGTCCTGATAAGTCATTTACTTAAAGTCATACTTGATTTTCAGCCATTACGAAAGCACTTCGATACCAGGTACTTGTGACGAGTCATCGGGTASGTCTGGTTATTGCCTTCATCTGGGTTCTCTCAGTGTTCGCACCACTTCTACCATTCTTTGGATGGCGTATTATCACGGAACGAACCCAGGGGGGGTTCTGTCAGTACCATCTGAACCTCGACATCACGTATATTCTCTTCCTTCACGTGTTCGTCTGCATCACACCAATAACTGTCACGTGTGTTGCATATATACAGATATTCATTATTGCAAGGCGACAGGCTTTAAAGATTGCTAGTACTGATGTAAGTAGCAGTATACCAATTGCCATTCCCTTTTATCCATAACTCATCTCTCATCCAAACCATCCATCTCTATGAGGACTGAAATARAAAACGAAATGTACGCCCTATAAGGCCAAACGAAAAAATAAGTATGTTTCCAGTTGCGCGACCGACCTTAATTTTCTTGCCGATTGAAATCACTGCTCTTATGGCAGCGTTGTTCTTATTTTTAGTGTTTATATCAGAACCAATCAAAGAGGAAGTGTRCAGTATACGCTTCCCAGGCACCTTTGCGAGATTAGTCTTTTCGCAATCGATCCATGACCTTGCAATCATTTTCTTTTTTTCTTTACCTTTCGATTCTTTCACTTTAAAACTGAACATCCCTGAATGTGCTATTCTGTACCAAGGAACCATGTTCTTGGCGTCCTGTCTCTGTGAGATAAAGAAAGAAAGCTTGATCAATGTTTCATGATTTAATCTTTTATCGACAGATTAACGTGAGTGAACGCGAGCGACAACAGCGGCGTCTGGAGAAAGAGCGTAAAATCACCCTTACAGTTGCTATAGTGGTGGGTGTATTTATCCTGTGCTGGGGTCCTCTCAACATCCTGCTTCTAATCTATGCAGTTTGTCATCAATGTGTCTCATCCCTAGTGGTAGAGGGTGTTGAGATCTTGGCTCTCATGAACTCTGCTTGCAATYCTCTGATTTACAGCGCGTGTAACAAGGATTTTAGGAAGGCGTTCAAACGTCTCCTCTGCTGTCGGTTTGGACGTGTTTGGGATAATACAGGAATAAACTACGATAACACTGACACTCGTATCGGACAATCAGAGATGAGGAAAAACCCTGACCCACCCCACCCATCATAATTCTGCCAAGGAACAGCCCGACCCACCCTACCCGTGACAAATCTGCCAAGGAACAGCTTGAAACACCCCACTCAATAATAGTAAGAAGGTTTTACGAATCTCCAATTAATGAACATATTTCAAAAAGTTTAATAAAGTTTTAGTAAATTATCAAAGTTAACTGAATTTATTAGATAATGAATACTGGATAAAACGTGACCTAGTATGTTGCTTACAAGCGCAAGTTTCAAAATCTATATATTATACTCTAGAATTATTCAATAAATGCTTCAATAATTATTTATGTGCTTCAATTATTATTTATGATTGCGCTGCTTTGGTGCTGATGCAACGGGCCTACATGGTATGTTCAGATCATAATTTATATTTTTCTATTTCTATTTCAGTTTGTAATGCACGTGTGAGCATCTTCCTATGTAACACGTGCAATATAAGTATTAAATTWTTATGTATTTGATTTCAATCGATTGTCTAAAACTAGTCCARCATTTAGCTTTATAACAAGACGTCATTATCGTTGCTATAGCTACATTTCAATAAATCAAAAGGAAAACTATCCTCTTTTATTTTACTCTGAAAATAWTATAAAGAAGAGATAACTAGCTAAAAACTAGTGTGATGCTCTTTTACTCCGACGAAGGACTAGCGTCTGAAACGTCAGTAAGTTTTTTCATCTTTTCACGGTGTATAATTTAATTACCCTTTTATCATTACTGAAAATATTATATGTGAAATAAACAATAATACAGCAATAAAAACTGCATATATTAGCTTACATTAGCTTTGATGGTGGTTTATATTAACGTTAATTAAACCGTATTTAACATCCCATAGAGCGTTTTCACAYGAMGTCAAAGCCACCATATTAGTGTACCTTTGACAATRACTTTGTCATTAGTTTCTTTTGTTAGATACACCAACATGGCTGCCATCTCTATTGAAAGTTAACTCTCTAGAGACTGAGTGAAAACGCTCCATGAGGAGTAAACAACAATTAACATGGATGATTCCRAGAACGCTTGCGAGTAATCAAGAAAATATGGTTCATTGTTGTCTWAATGCTTGTTTTGTTTAGACACAAAACATCCAATCYTTTGATACAAAAGACCAGTTTTAAAGCAATTTTCCTAAAGTATACTTAGAGCCAAAGTGATAATTGACTCTCTTAAGATAAGTATTTTAGAAAGAATTCTTCACATATAGTATCCCTGTGGTTTTGAATACCTTATATATCCTGTGTATCTCTCAGCACGTTTCCTGCCRCGATAGACAATCAYGACCATTGATCTCTGTGCAAACATATAGTGTCTCTTAGCAACAGGGTGACGCTAGTAACAAACACTCAATCTAAGGAGGTCTGCTTTAGCAATTCACATTAATCAAGAACAACAAAGACACATTGTCGAAAGCGTTTTTACACCTTGAAGAAGCCTGAACTACGAATACTTTGATAGACTTGGATTATATTCCAATACTAGCTCTGTGTTGAGTTCTGAATATAAACTTGACATTCCTTTACTGGATGACATGAAGGAACTAAGCTTCTCACAGCAGCGTCTGCTTGAAGCAATAACTAACGGCAGAATCTACCAAACGAGACAACTTCTAGAAGCAGGGACGCCTTCAGAATTTCTCGACGAGGAAGGTTATAGCCCTTTCCTACGGGCTTGTTTTATCGACGATGAAAGACACAGGACAAGGACCAACCTGATAAAACTCTTGATTGTTTACGGAGCTGATGTGAATACTACAGATCCACTAGGTCGGCATGCCTTGACATATGGTTGCATGACCGAAAACCAAGAGATGGTTCAACTCTTGTTAGACATCTCGATACATAATATAGACTTGAATAAGAAAGATTGCAATGGAGATACACCGCTAATGCATGCTGTACGACTTGGTAATGTTAACCTAGTCACTATACTAGTAGATGCCATGAACAAGTTTAGTATCAACATGGATGTACGAAATAATGCTGATAGGACTCCATACCTTGAGGCTAAACATTTGGGAAGAAAGGAATGTGCGGAACTTCTACTAGMAAAGGCAAGCGCGTCCAGGGAAGTACAAGTCAATCCGTTTCTTGACTTTATGGAAGGTAAAGACGAAAGATATCTATACGGTGGGGATGTTAGAGGTGTTGATTGGAGAAGGAAGAAAATGAAGGGAACAATAGTAGAGAAGAATCGGTATAACTTGATCCATCAACACCAAGGAAAACCTGCAAGATTAAACTCGAAACGAGAAATAAAGATTGATTGTAGTGTTAAAAGATTACCCAAGAGACAAGGCACAAAGCCTAGGGGTTTAAAGAACAGAAACACTGAAAATACAACTGGTTTTGAAGAGAAGAAACTAGCTTCCAACGCGACTACAGAAACACGTGTTACAGAAGTGTTACGAGAAGTTCAAGTATGTAACGAGAAGAATGACACTGATGATAGAGCGGAGTCGAGTGCCGCCAGGGTCACAAACGAAAATACCATAACAACGACGAAAATGGAGAAAGAAGGTTTGATATCTGTGAGTGAGACACCTCGAGTAAGACCATCTACAGCTGTTATTACACGGAGGGAAATGAARGCTGCCASGAACAGAGAGAACAGAGACCCTTTGTTGTATAACACATTCTTAACGGACGGTACCCCCGTGAGGCCAAGYAGTCATCGAGTATGGGTACCACATCACCTCAGAAGCAAAACAGCGCCCCCCAGACGGTACCCTCACAGCATACGGCAAACACCACTCATGTCAGATAATCCATCAGTCAAGAGGTACAGCGTGGACGATAATGATCAGATAAGTTGGTATTCTCATTTTAGTATTCGTACTTCTCCTTCAGCGAATTTCATGAATAAGATAATGGCAATGTATGCTGAACAAGTCGCTCCTCAGTCTAGTTACAGAAAAGGCGTAAAGCCGAGGAAATCCGAATATGCACCGACTATTGTCGCACCGCCCGATGGTGAACACGATAAACACTCGGACGGCCGTCGGTCGTCTAGCGGAAGTGTTCGTTCGTTGTCGGGTTCTGTTCGGAATAGAAGGTTTTCTGTAATAACTAAAACAGTTGCTTCTTACATATCAAGTAGGAAAGCAATGACCTCTGGTGGCAAAATTAAAAAYTAAATTATATTACTGAATAAATGTATAAAATCCTTTAAAAATAACTCAGTTACTATAGTTTAAATTATTATTAGCAAAGAAATTTGTATTGAGAATTACATCTTTTAGTATAGAATGTAACAGAATGTTCAAGTTTTTTTATTGAATCTTTTATTATTTAGTGAAAAATATTTTTATGTCTTTGCTATTTTATATTTTTAGGAGTTTTGATGCATTACTTTTTATACAGGTATATGTATATATTACTATTATCAGAAATAATAATCTTCAATTAAATATATAATACCAACTCTTGTATATATTGAGAATATATTACATTAGATACTGATGACCGTAATTCACAAAAAAACCAAAGCTGTTTCCTTTTGAGGGTGAGTAGCTGAGTTGTCTAGAGAGTGTTTGCTATCCAAAGACAGCACTGGATCAAAAAGACGGCTTAAAATAACTATATGGTATTGTCTGGCCAGAATTGGAACTTGTCCAGTCAAATCGTTGCCTTACCAGTTATTTTGAGCAGTAATCTTAAGATAGAAAGGAGGTATGACCAAGCTAAATCCCCGAGGGGGGGGGGGGTACTCCCATATATGGACTATACGGGGATGATCCGCTGAACAGGGTGAACAGGGTATGGTTTTTCGAGCTTCTTGTCATAAACAGGGTATGCAATTTTACTCAAGTTCCAAGTTCTTCCTAAGTTTCCTGTTATATTCAGGGTTTCTACTTTCGTATTGGCCGAAACTGGTTATTATGGTCATAACAAAACAATACGCGAGCTGACATGATAATTGAAACAGGAACACAGTGCAATTAATTATATCTTTTATCATAAACAGGGTCTACAAATTTGGGTTTTTTTGTCACCAACAGTGTACCCCTTTCAGAATCCCAGCGGAACACTCCTACCCAAATTCTGGCGGAGTTCATTTTATAGTAAAAGTCACTAAGCTTATATTATGTAAAGACATCTTATAAAATAAAAACAAAATCTTACCTTAAAACCAGAAACCCGAATATCTCCACCGACACGAGCAGCGAGGAAGCAAGAGAGCCAACCATTGATTAGTTAAGAGCTAACAAGTGAAACTTCCAAGTCCACAACGATTTGTAATAGCGAGAAAAGAAGGCATGTGTTGTTATCTTCTCGTGTTGTTGTCTTCTCGTGTGTCAGCCATATTGAATTTCGCGCCAGCCCGATCCCATGGATCTTTGCGCGTAAGGAACAAACCCAACCTAGAAGCTGATGTTACCTCAAAAGGCAAATTTATCACAAATTGATCACAGTTGATTAGAACGATTTCGGATCGAGGAGATTTTCGCATAATTTCCCATAAACCGCGTATTTTGAATAAAATAAAACAAAGCCAAAACTCTTTAAAAATCCTCAATTTTAAATTCAATAGTTATCGATAAAATATATTTAATTTGTTTAAAATAAGAATAAATGCAGAATAGAAGAAGAGAAAAAATATGCAAAGTAAATTATTCAATAATAAATCTTGATATATGATAAAATCAGAGAATTTGTCCATACTGCCTCGTTAGCGCAGTAGGCAGCGCGTCAGTCTCATAATCTGAAGGTCGTGAGTTCGATCCTCACACGGGGCAAGTATTTTTGCTCATCTTCACCTTTTTTTTTTGCCTATTCTTAAATACAACATAAAGCATTATAACTTTGAGAAACTTGAAAGAAATGAATTACCTGTCATTAAATAGCATCTGGGAATAATATATTTTTTTCGACCAAAGCGACAACAAAAGCATGCTACGACGAGCTACGACCTGGAATCGATAGAGTAGTTTATACGTTTTGATTTCTTTGTGTTTGTTTCTTTTTTTCTCTTGCTTGTTAATGACTTTTCTGAAACTCTTATATAAATTGTTAACTTTTTAAAGTTTGTAAGGCTCAAATGTAATGTATATTTCATCGACTGGGATACCTGTGTTAATCAAAACTTGTTTTAATTCTTATATTTTATTAAATAATTCAATAAAAAACACCGTAACAAAAAAGATAAAATGAGAAGTAAATCTAACTCAAAACCTGGAAATACTACATCAAGTCTATACGACTTGCATTAAAATACACTGGGCTGCCTGTGTCAAAGAAAATTAAAATAACAAGTAACATATTAATCTATATATAGTAATAGACTCTAATAATATCTCTCTTCTATATATACACTATACAATGTCTTTAACCTTGTAATATATTGCATCTTGGTTGTTTCGTATACCAAATCTGTAGCGGACTGCAGCTAAAAAGTACAGCATTAAATAATTTGATTTTAATAAATTAAAAATAGGAATAAATAAGTTTAAATGGCTTTTTCAACATTGCAATAGCTACAGCTCCAGTTAAGGGTGTGTCAACTTCTGAATTTCTTGTTGGCGCCAGGCGAGATATCATCAGTACTTTCAAGAAAACTTGCAGGTACCAGTCCTTTACGGCCATTAATTTCCGCGTTGTAATACCCGTCTTTATTCATGGTACCAGTTATCGTTATTTGTTGTCCTTTTCGAAAAGAGAGTTGATTATGAGGGTTATCTAGAGGAGACTGCTCGTTTGGGTTGTAGTCGTATAATGCTATCATTTTCTTTCTGTGTCGAGGAGTAGGATTGGGTGATGATGTTCCATTTATGTTGCCATCGTTGATGGCTTGAGAACCACCCTACAGTGAGATAATGAATAATTAGGGAAAGCTTTGTCAGTGAAATATCAAAGAAGCACACTAGATTTTAATGGTTGTGTCATACCTTGCGTGTAGGCGATGGTGGACCCAGGGCGTTGGCAACCGCAACTTCTTCTACAAAGTTCGATGGAATAAGACCTTTTTTATCATTCAAAGAACCAAAATAGAATCCATCTTTTCTGGAAGTATCTTCTACTCGCAGTATATCTCCTTCATTAAACTTCAGTTCATACTGAGGATTGGAGTTTGGAGAACTTTTCAAGGGGTCATAATCGTAGAGGGCCACGAAAATGCGCATTTGTTTGTTGTTACCCACAGTATCCTAATAGAAAGAAAAATGGACAAACAGTCAAACACTACCGAAATAAAACTATAAAATCTAGCATAATAGCTGTTAAATAATGGGAAAAGTTTGAAAAGCATGAATGAAACAAAGAAGAAAAGCAAGGGGTTGTCCTGAAACCATAAAGAGAAATCTAATAACTTCAAATCAAGTTCGTTTGAATACATACCTCAATGGCCTTGGAAACAGGCATCTACAAAAAAACAAAAAAGTTTTAGGGAAAAACAAGTAAAAAGGAATGGCTACGCGGTTTTAAAATATCTTTATACAATCTTAATAGTATACCAATGAAGAAATAGAAAACGCTCGCGCGTGCTGTGTGCTGTCATAAAGCACGCGGGGGTTGGCAGAACACGAGAGAAGTGTTAGGAGAAGCACGACGCGTAGGGGAGTGCTTCTGGACACTTCTCGAGTGTTCTGCCAATCCCCAAGTGCTTTATGACTGCACACAGCACAGCAAGCAAGTTTTTTATTTCTTTTATAAAATACAAATTACAATAATAGATAGGAATGACGCAACGGAAARTGCGCGCGCGTGCAATGTGCTCTCATAAAGCACGCGCTCCAAACCAATCAGAACGCGACATTCATAACATTTATTTTATAATATTTAATAGAGAATATACTTAATTTAGCGAGAAGAAGAGTGATCGAAGGATGGAGCAACTCACCCTAGTGTTATTGATAGTATCAGTAAAGGTCGTAGATACGTCACTAGAATGAGAACCATCAGATCCTATAGTACGGATTGTAAACCGTATGGGATACCGAAGATCAAGGTCGTCTACCAACGCCTAGAACAAACATTATGGTTAGTTCGCGTGGAAGCTCAAACTGAATAACAAGAAATTTATTCGTACTTTGGTCATAAATTGACTCCGGACATCCAACTTGTAGTCGCCATTTTCGTATATCTACCGAAATAAAGACAAAATGATAACGTTAACTATTATTCCCGGTAATGATGATAACAATTCGCACCACTTTGCCTTCATGCTACTCTGCGCATGCTCACGTTTATCACGCATATTACCTTGTAACCCTTGACAGCCACCCCGTTACTTCTACCAAACTCATCCATATCAGGAAGACTCCAGCCCAGCAAAATAGCGTCATGGTTGACAGGTCGTATAACACGAAGACTTGAAGGAGGACCTGGAGGACCTTAAAAGTAATAAAATATGTCAGTATAGTACATCCCATACAACAAGACGAGGTTAGATTGAACCGATACTTACCTCGATGACCAACAGACTGGGGACTAGTCACCAGAGCCTTTGATTGACGGGGTTTGGGTTTATTGACAGGTTGTACTGAACTACGTTGTACTTGTGAGGTTATTTGAGGTGGTGATGTCAAAGGTTGTGATGATATAGGGTGTTTGGAAGGTGAGAGCTGTGAGGTGATCCCACGTGACCTAGGTGATGACTGTTGCCTTGGTGATCGCTGTGATGCACGTGGTTTGCTAGGAGAAGTGTTGCTGATTGGTGCAGCTAGCTTGTGTACTTCTGCAGGTGACATATAGGGTGTAAATATCGGTTGAATCAGCTGCTCTCTTCTTGGTGATACCATGGACACCATGGGAACCGGTTGAACCAAGTGACCTGAAGGTGCTATACTGGTTATTGTGGGTTGGCTTGAGAACCTTGGTTCAGTGTTGGGTAAAACTGACATAGGTAGTGACGTTCCTAAAAACAATATATATAGAATTCTGGTTACTATTTTTGAACTGTTGTAGGTGGTGTAAATTTCAAGGGCATGGATGATAGCAGTTTGTACCTGTTCTTTGCGGTGAAGGAACCTTTATGTTATCTAACATCCCAAGAATTTGTTCTGGGGCAGTACTACTCGTCTGTAAAGCAAACAAAAACAACACCCAAAGTATTACTACACGGCAAACAATGTAAACAGCAGACAAAGAGATCGGTTTAAAGAAGAGAGCAACGAACGTGATGGCAAGAAACTCACGGGTTGAAGAAAAGATGAAGAAGTGACATCTTCTACAAAGTTAGACGGGACCAGTCCAATTTGACCTGAGAAAATTACACAGAATATAATCAACAAATCATGTCATTTATTCTGATGATTTAAAACAGGAACCGAAAGCCCGGAAAGCACAGGCCAAACAACCTACCATCCATCTCTGCCTTATAGTATCCACTGATATCCATATCTCCTATCACGGTCATTATATCACCCTTCTTGAAGGGTAGCTCTACTTCAGGTCTACCAGTTGTACAGGACTGGTAAGGGTTATAGTCGTATAAAGCTACGTAACATTGTCTTTGTAGCTCAGTATCTGGACATGATGATCGTGGTGACATACTACTGCGACCACTAGAAATAGCATCAGGCTGAAGGAATGAAAGAGAACACATCCATGTCAATAGAGGCTTTGCACATTCACTTGACGGCAACCATGGTGGATGACAGGGACAATATAATAAATATAATAAGAAAGAATTCAATCCCCAAGGGCAAAGGGATTTTATTGTTCTGCCATCCAACCACAGGGCAGCCCAACCTGTATTACGAGCATGGGCACGTGATGGTGCAAAACCTCTATAAAAACCCTTGCGCAAATGTACTTAGTATGTCATCTTGTTGTGAGGCTTAGAGGACGTAATAGTATGCCTGAGCATGATAAAAAAACACATAAGAATGAGGCTGCGAAGGCAGAACAATCATTATAACATTAATTAAAACATGGAAGCGAGGATAATAATGTCATTATACCTCACAGTGGCCATTAGTCAGCCGTCCTTTAGCAATTCTTTCTTTTTCTTTTTCATTAGTTCCATTGACCAAGGTTTGACCAGGACCATCCTCTACTTCTTCAACGTATAGTCCAGGTACCAGTCCCCTCACGCCGTTCAACTCGGCTTCATAGCAGCCATTAGAGTCCATGTCCCCATACACCATCAGTTCCTCGCCTTCCTTTAGGGTTAGTTCTGACTCGGGGCACCCAGAAACACTAGCTTTATGTGGGTCGTAATCAAAGATGGCTACAAATAACTTGGGAGGAGGGTTTTTCGACTGTAAAGAAAGAAAAGAAAGCACAATTTAGAAAGCAGTAGAAAGTCTGTGGACTAAAATGAACACTAGAAATGAAAAGATGAAAGAAATTCGATAGACAAATTTGGAAACAAACCTTTGATTTAGGACTTCTTTGACCATTCGAATGAGGCTTTGAATCCACAGCATCCTGGAATAAAGGAATCGAATGTTCTTTAGTAAAAAATATGTCAACTTTGAGGGTTTCAAATTTGGACATGATAGTAATAGGAAGTTTTGCGATTAAACGCGTTTTTAAGAGGCACTGATGACTTTTCGGCTACATATGTTTGTGATAGCCATAATCATTCTGATAAAGGTTATCATAAGCATAGCCGAAGCTTCATGCTTCTTAAGAATCACTTGTTAAAAAAGCAAAACCTACTATTACTAATATGTCAACATATTTATCTAAAACTTGCACATGCGCACTAAGGCAATAGTAGAAAACCGGATTGGAAAACATTATTTGTATCAACCAATCAAAAGTAGCAGAAGTTTGATCATTCAGTGGCTGCTCATCATTGTTGGCAGACGGGAAAAATAGCATCAACTGATGTAACTATCTGATACTCATTGATACAGCCCGTGGTCTCAATTAACAAATACTGCCCTCCCGTCAAAACAATCTTCAAAGCTGCCTTCATATCATTGTCTTCCATAACAAAGACTTGTTTCAAACAGCATAGTCAATAAAGTGTAGCTCACCCTAAGGCCGTTGGTGTTGTCTTTTTTGTTCCCATCTCGCTGACTAGAATATTTCACAAAGTTTTCAGGGCTGTATCCATAGCTTCGTATCTTGGACAGGTCATCTAATGTTGATGTAGCAATGGCGTGTCGTAGTTCACGTATCTCGTCATTCAGTTTATCAATAAACTCGTCCTTTTCCTTACATGCTTTTTTGAGAAGAGCCACTTTGGCCTGAAAATCGGAATTACGAGTTTGTCAAGGACCCATTTTTATCCGGTATGCATTGCAAGCTGAGCTACATCTTCTGAAAGACTCCCAGAATCATTTAAAACGTACTCTAAACGAGATTCATATTCATAACTTGCTTTGAAATGAAACGAATCAGTGTTTATTAATGCGCATGCACCAACCATCTTTTGCGCAGCTATTCTTGCATTGGGTCAAAACTAATTAGAACATTGTACATTTGGGTCGAAGAATAACTGAATCAAATCAAGTTACCTTGAGGGTTGGGATCTGCATCTCGAAGTCATCCCTTTGACGAGTCACTTCAGCAGCCTGGTATCAATAAATACAATAGGATTGATTTTGCACGTGTTATACTTAAGGTTTGACATCTAGATGCGAACACATGTAACCTACCTTTAATCTAAGAGTATGGAATCCATCTTCTAACTTGACATACTCTCTATGAACAACAGTACGTAACGCGTTAACGAAAGACTAAATGCTGCCAGGAAAACCATCAAAAGCAGTGTACTGGCAATGTTGTAGGAAGAAGTTTGGTAGTGCAGTGTTTTATGAAGTAGAGTAAAAGTGTGGTGTGGTTTGATTCGGTATGCTGTAGTGTGGTGTGGTGTAATGTAGTGTGATGTTATGTTGTGTAGTGCGCTGTGATGTGATGTAGTGTGATGTAGTGTAGTGTAGTGTAGTGCAGTGTCATGCAGTGTGATGTGTAGCGTAGTGTGGTGTGAGGTAGTGTAGAGGGATTCGAGTAGCGTAGTGTGGTGTGGTGTAGAGGGATCCGAGTAGAGTAGTGTGGTGTGGTGTAGTGTAGAGGGATCCGAGTAGAGTAGTGTGGTGTGGAGTGATGTAGTGTAGAGGGATCCGGGTAGAGTAGTGGCGTAGTGTGGTGTGGTGAGTAGTAGTGTACTGTGGAGGGATCTGAGTAGAGTAGTGTAGTGTGGTGTAGTGTAGAGGGATCCGAGTAGAGTAGTGTGGTGTGGTGTAGTGTTGAGGGATCCGAGTAGAGTAGTGGTGTAGTGTGGTGTGGTGTGTAGTAGTGTAGTGTGGAGGGATCTGATTAGAGTAGTGTACCACTCTAAGGGGTGTGTCGTAGTATGGTTAGCGTATTATAGGGTTATATATATACGTTTGTTTGCGTGAAAAAAACTACGTAAAGAAAAACAAACAAACAAACAAACACCACTACACCACACCAATAAAACAAAAACTATTAAATAGCATTCAAGTGAACAAAATCACTTAGGCATAATATTAACAAAATAAAATAAGATATGATTTAAAATTAATGAAATGTTAGAAACGATTATCAATCATTAAAGCATAAGGAATCAGCACGGACAGCGCTTAGAGAACAATTACAACATCAACACAAACAAACAGCCACAGCTGACAAAATATATATCATACAATATCAACACGAATCATGACAAAATAAAAGTAAAAATAAGATTGAATAGAATTAAACGAGGATTTAATGGAGTGAATATGATATACCGTGATAAGTGTGCCATGACAAAGAAATGTAAGGTGAAGAAAGTGTCATTCAAGCAAGTATTAATATACTACAGACGTCAGTACTACCACACCGCTGATCAGTAAAACTGCAGCTTCAGACAAGAACCATGAAAAACACAGGTTGACCAAATCAAGCTAATCCACATCTACCAGGTGTAGTTTGGCGTTATCCATAAATTCATAATTTAGAACATTTCTTGTTAAAATATTTTATGGTATGGATGTTTTATTCTTTATTCAAGACAATAACAGAACCTCGTAAAACTTATTATTTTTATTTGGTGTTTATTATATTTTTATTATTTTAATATTTGATTTAGTTAATCTTAGTTCACCTATTTACTAGTTTACAAAAATATTCACAGAAATTAATATTCTTTATATTTTAAATTACTCTTTGTATCTTATATTTCGAAGTTCATCACGAACCACAGGTAGCCCATTGTTGTGTTTTTAGCTTAAGAGGAAATTTTTTTCAATAATGAGCAATGATGGCAAAAAGCGCCAAAAACTAGACTTTCGTATGAGTTTTGATCCCAATTTTCGTTTTGGGTTAACACTCAAAACCTTTTTTAAACAGTTAGAAACGGTTGTACTATGATAAAATGCTTGTTTGAAGCGGTATTTTCAGTTGTACAAAGATGTTTTGTTGCACTTGTGTTAGAATGTTGCTTTGTCAGGCTTTTTTATAAAAATATATGGGAAATAAGCAAATGAAGGCCTAAACCTCATTTTCGAATAAAATTTTTGCTTTGGGTTAACACTTTGATTCCACTTTCATTGGTCATCTCCACTTCCAAACAAGTTAAACTTTCTGATTTTAGCCTTGTACAACAGCCTTTCTTCAAGAAAATAGTTTTTGGCGCTCACCGCTTGAATACGAAAAGAATTCTCTCTTAATACCTAACACCAAAGGAAGCCCAACATTTATCTAACTATGTTACTTAGTATATTATTGTTATTCCACGTAGCTGAAGACAGGTTTATTTGGGTCTCTTGTTACGTTTTAGTCGTCCAAGGAACGAGCTGCTTCGTTTAACACGCTCTTCTTTGTCTTGAGGAGGAGAATCAGAAGATGGAGTGGAGCGAGAAGGCGAGAGCCTGGAGAGGAGGGTTAGAGTAGAGGCTTGTATCACCAGTAAGTAAAAGACTAGGTATGTTACTACTAGTAGGGTTATTATCAGTGCATGCATGATCATATATCAACATTATTATAAGATATTAGATAGTGGAATGAAAAGTAATAGAACAACACAATAATAACAGAAGTAACAATAATAGCAGCACAGGACAGCACAAGAAGCACTAAAAAAGAATGTCTGAATATCTAGACACGGGGAGGAAAGGATTTGTACTCCTACAAGTACAACACATATATATTGTACAATACTATGTAAGTAACAATAAGCTATCTGTCCGTGCTGAGTATGTACATAAATAATGAAGTACGGAAAAGATTCAAGAAGAACATAGATTAAAGAGTACACTTATTGGTTAAATCCCGATAAGGGAGGAATAAGAGCAGCCTAATGAGCAGCCTAGGAATTGCCTTTAAAATGGACAAAAAGATGACGCGCAGTTGAGAGAACGGCGCGTCACGACATTTTTGTTGTGCGCACTCGTTTTCAAAAATACCATCGATGATAGGTTACATCTCGTAGCCTCCTTCAGTATGAAGGGGAAGTCAAACCTAAAGACTACACCCTTCGTATCAAAAACCTCTCTCGTGCAGCCCCCCATGACTCAGAAGGGAAATTATCTAGTGTAGTATGGGGAATAGAATATCTATGAGTATAAGGCTTAGTTACGCACCTGCTACGATCCTCAAGCTCAGCCAAACGAGTCTCGAGTGAATTTCTTTCCTGTATAATGCCTGCTACCCGTTTTTCCAGTTCGTTTTTCTCATCTTCTAGTTTGTTGTACTTTGCTTGCACAAAGTTGCGTTCGTGTTGCGCATCTAAGGTCTTGTTATTAGCGTCCTGGATTTTGTCTTCCATCTCATCAGCCTAATACGACAGATAGATTAAAGAACAATCTTCTTAGTATACAGTTTACGTAGAACAAATGCCGTGTGACCGTAAAACTCTTAGAGTGAGTATGGACGTGGCGTGCGTGACCATGGATGAACACTATCCTCACGCACTGTTATTGGTTTAAAGGATAACGTAAATTCCGTACCGTGACAGTGCGCGTGACAGTATATTTCACAGTCAAACGAAATGCTAAATGCAATAGTATTGTTAACGGGCGTGACGCATTGGTATGTCACGCAATCTTACCGCAGCTTTCAGTTCCATCTGGTTCTTATGCGCCATAGCATATCTCTGCTCCAGTTCATCTCTCTGCATTTCCATTATCTTGTTATTTCTCAAAAAGTCATTTCTTTCTGATTCCACCATTCGTCCTTTCTTCAGCAGATCATCCCGTTGGTCCTCTACGATCTTTAGTTTCCTCAACAGGTCGTCACGCTCTTTCTCCACACTCTCCATGTCCTGTAGATGATTCTATAATACATAGGATATTGTTAACAAAGGTGGATCAATATTCGTTTTTCCTGATTGGCCAGGAAAGCAGACCATCTAAGAATCAAAATACCCATAGCACTCGTATCAAGAAAACCATTCCCTACACAACACTAAGACATTTAGAGCATCTCAATGGCCTTGTGACGTCACAGTCTATGGACTTGTGACGTCATGTTCGGTGACTAATTGTTGGGCATGAGAATATTATACCTGTAACACGGAAATGTTGTACTCAAGCTGTTTAAACTCCTTTTCTGTCTTTTCCAAGTTTTTAACCTGAAGGAAAAGGTAATGAGAAGATTTTAAAAAAGTACAAGGGACGGCAGCACAAAATATAATATGCATGAAGAGACGAGATCTCTGTGATACCTTGTCCATCAATTGCTTGTTTTCTCTTTCCAGCGTCGAGTACTTGGACTGTAATCCAGAGAGCTTCGAGTCAGAACCTTGTAAGGTACGCGTTTGAGCCTAGGGAAAAAACAATATTCTTTTATTTCTTTATTTCTTTTATTTTTTCATTTTTTCCTTTTTCCTTCGCCGTTCCAATCATTAAACAGTCCATTCATCCCATTAACTTATCTGGTCATCCATTCCCTCGTTCATTTGTTTATTCATCTATTCATTAATTCATTAATCTTTTCATTTCAGTATTCAGGCTGACCCACCTGCAGGTTCAAATAAGACGCTTCGATTCGTTTTCGCTGTTTCTCTGCGTTATTTGCTTCAGCTTTCCATTGATCCGCCTGAACAAAACAGAGATATCAGCAACATGTATCAGAATCCTGATCTACATCCACCTACATTCACATCATGACTTCACAAACGAACGTACATTACGTTCACGTTTCAACGAGTATGTATGAGCTCCTAAGTGGTACGTGGGTAAATAAAGTATTCTATCACATCCCATCCCATCCCATCACATCCTATCCTATCGCATCCCATCCCATCACATCCTATCCTATCGCAACCCATCCCATCCCATCGCATCCTATCCCATCTCATCCTAACCTAACCTATTCTATTCTATCCCGTCCTATTCACACCAAATTTCAAGTTAATGTTTACCTCATAACTTTTCCTGTTCAACTCTCCAATCTACACAAGAAAAGAAAACGCACCTCGTTTAGTCAAGAATGCTGGGTTAATCACTTTATATAGTAGAGTTGACGGAAAGTAGCATTATAATAAAGAGATAATTTGTACAAACCTTAGTAAGAAGCTCCTTTTCCTTTTTATGATTCTGTTGACAATCAAAATAAGAAACAATTAATGATCAAAGCGTCAAAAATATTAATTAGAAATAATAAAAAACACAAGTGATTATTACCTCTTGTTTCAGAAAAGATACATCCTCCTCCTGTATAGTTGAGAATATACAAGACAAAATATTCATGTTATAAGCATCTAACAATGAGTAATGTGAGTAATTATTAGGAACTGAGGATGAATAGGTGCTTACCAAGATCTTGATTTCTCGTTCTCTGCGTTCAAGCTGTTGTTAAAAATAAATAGAATGAATCAATAATAATAATAAAGATGTTCTTATACATGTATACCGCAGCCCCATACGATCTCGATCTCTTTCAATGGAAAGTAAAAAAACGATCAGGTAGTTGTCCTACAACAGTGCGGACTGTTAGTATGCTATGCAATCGTGATATACACTAGGAGGAAAAATCCCCATCACTTGATTCATATTTACCAAAGCTTGTTTTTCTAGCTCAGTTGCTTCAGTCTACAAGGAAATAAAAACGAAAAGTAAGCTATGATATACCAGGCCACACCTGTGATAAGCCTTCAGCAAATGTTTGAAGGATCTACGACTAAAATACTGAGCAAGAAAGAATTACTCTTCAAGAGATTTACCTTCATGGAGCGTATCACGTTTTCTTTGTTCTGTAACAAAACAAACCACACATGTTAGAAGAACACCAATAACCAATGAATATTCAGCTACTGATGTGTAATTAACACCTCTTAACCGTGGGTTAACGTGTATTCTACGTACTGCATAGTGACATTAAAACATAACGTTATCGTGTAATTGCGGWAGATGCGAGTTGAGAGAACCATTAATAACATTACATTTAGTGCTTCCTCTCCACAGCAACCAATCAACGGGCAGAAAAAGTTCAAACTATCCAATCGATACGCTTGTTTGCCGAAACCACATATATGAATCAGAGTCATAACACAGTATGTTTTCCTTCATTTGAAATCTAAGCTAGTTTGATGTGACATGTAATCGATAGTGAGAAAGCGTGACATTAATCTTTGTCACGCACAGCAAACATAAACACAACGAAAGATGCCAAGCACCTGCTAGAACATGACAATTAGTTGAATTACATACTTGTAATACATATTCATACTATCTATTTCTAGCTGAAAATGTGCTAATTTAAAACAAGATCTTAACATATCATTTAAACACGAGACAAAATCGTTATCTTCTTTTCTCTCTCACTTTTTTCATTTTTTYYCCATTTTTTCACTTTCGTTTGAATAAGAGAACCTTGACATTTCTTTTATSATTGACCAGGTCTATATTCTATAGTTATTAAACCTACATAACCACTACAGCCTCTACTTATCTGCCCTGGTCATGACTTACTAGTTCTCGTATCTCCATGCTACAGATAACACAGTTTGGATATTTCCCACATACAGGCCATTCAACCATCCTCTTTCCTCGATCACTACTATTACTATTTTCGATCCTTGAAAGTCTGTTTTTAAGAAAAGTCCCACGGAGATTTTTTGAAAACTTGTCTAACGTTTTCTCTAAGCCGACTAGAACTTCTACTTGCACGCGTTTTTCTCGTTGATGGAAAAACGAGAGGTTCGTTTCGAAGTGCTTGAGAATTCTGGACAACTGCGCTGTTTGAGCTTTACATTGTTTGTCCTGCTTTGATGTCGTGCCAGGATTACTGCATCGTCGTAGCTCTTGACTCAAGGAATCTACATCATCGTCAGTGTTCCACTTGTGTTTGTTGGTATCTTGTGGGTCAGGTTTACAGGCATGAGATGGTATGACCACTGAGCTAGCTGTTCGTGGTAGCGAGGGAAGACATCTCAGGTCACTTATTATAGACTTATCAAGAGTCTTCTGAGAAAGACATTCCTCCTCGGTGATTCTGTTAGACATCACTAGCTAATAATATACCACATCATTCGATCTGCATGTTATCAGCAAGAAGCCTCTCACAAAAAAGCCGTAAGCTACAAGAATCGTTGGTACAGTCCCAGTGGGTCCTTACTGTGTTCTGTAGGCTATTTTAAGCAAGTCTTGCAGGCGTTCTCCCAATAAATCATCACATATATTTGCATAGTGTTCGGTTGTCAACAGATTTAGTCATATTTGGCTATAGGAATTGAATGTTTAACAGGTAGCTTGGAATTCTGCCAGAAGTTGGAAGACAATGGACAAATCATTTAATTTTACTGCTCCTTCCAGTATAGCAGCGCTCGTGTTTTCCTTGTAACCAGAAATTCCCATGGCAAAATATTAAATTGTCAAATTTGCGTTTCCAAAATTCAGTGGTAGACTAGTAGTAAATAATAATAATAATACCGTGCAGCTTACAATCATGAGTATGATGGTGATGATATACATGGTGCATAGAATCTTGGGACTGAATTGGAGGATGGGAGATTGTAGAGATTCTTGATTCCGTCCCCAATTCAGTCCCACAATCCCATGCACTACGAGACTATATCTATCCCTATCTTGCACTAACCTTCAGCTGTTTTTCCAGGAAGTTAATCTTTTCTCCCAGTGCATCCAGCTCACCCTGGTTAATAGCAGATGCAGTAGCACGTACATACCCACGTGGGGTCAGGCCAAGTGCTTCCTCATCGGTAAGAGATTCACGTGATCTAGTCAAAGGTGTGGAGAGTAACCCATGTTTTGGGGTACCTGGTACCCTTCTTCCTGACATCTTGGGTTTGGGTAGTGTAGGTGGAGGAGCAGCTTTGGGTGTAGCTGGTGGTCTGGACGTCCCTCTATGGAGGGGGCTTGTCTGGTTGGTACGTAAGGGTGGAGGGATCTTGGTTCTCTCGGGTATAGGTTCTCCCTCTACACCAGACTCTTCATCAGCTTGTATAGCCGGCTCACTCACAGTTTCTCTTTCCGCGGGATAGTTCTTCTGACGTGAAGCAGCCCGCAAGGCTCTTGAGTCACGCGGAGGGGAACTTCCAAGTATATTTTCTGTTCCTAACTCCATGTCATCTTGCTCGTTATCTGGAAGATCCGGGGGAGGTACTGATGGAACCGGCGGCGGAGCAAAATCTGGAGGAAAATCATCTCCGAATTCAAAGTCAAGGATATCATCAGTATCGGCTCTTTGACGTACATCCTGTTGACCATCCATGACGTCAAGACTCCTTAACCCTCTCTGTACGGCAGTCTTGGTGTCCCGAGGAGATCTCGACGACAGGACCTCGGGTTCCTTTACCTTCCTTTTATTGGAATACTGTCTCTTGGGACCCTGTGGTTTTGGAGCAGGCTTGGTAAACAGCTCATCGAAATTCTTCACTGGAACCTTGGGTTTATTTCGATCATCACGGCGTGTACTGGACCGACCATCACCTGAGTCTAACTTTGTAAGCCAGTCATTCTTGGTTTCAGCAGTTGACTGTACACTAGCTCTGATTGGTTCCTCTTGTCTTTTGTCACGTGACCCTCGGTATCCTGCTGTAGAGTTCTCCAGCTACAATAACAACATTAGAAAAAACATCAAATGAAGGAATTTTAAATGTAATAGACTTGTAACGCGATAAAGCTGTCACGCGTCACATCAACGATGCCCGCTGGGGTTGAGATCATAATAGGGTCTTCCTGCTAAACGCACTCATGATATTAAAAAAGGCATTTTTAATTATAAAAGACTGTTCCACAGCCTTGGGTTGGATTAAAGATGTTATGACTGACCTACTAACACTCACTTTAGTAAATTATTTTTTCGACTACAAAAAACATTAACAAAGTAAAACACTTGAAGGCATAAAAACCATTCTAATGATTGTTTCCCTTACACGCAGGTGTTTAATATGGCCCGTAATATTTATTCTCAAAGAAGATACTTCTCTTTGACATCAATATTTGAAACCATCATAACACTGAGAGCCGTTAGCATACACTGACCGAATATAGTTATAAAACAGAGATCAGAGTTCAACGTTGTGATGATAGATTACACAAATAAATAATGGCTTAAAGACGCGGTCTCATGCAGGGCTAACCTAACCTAACTAGCCAACGATAAACGAAATTCTCGGAAACCAAAATACCTCTCAGTCAAAGTACATCTATTGCTAGTCTTGTACTTACATTTGTACAAGATTTGATTCACGTTTGACAGTGTTTTGAGTTTTGTATGACAGATTTGAATATGTGTAAGCTAAGTGAAATCAACTTAAGCAAGCCGATGTTATTAAGTCATTTTCAAACTGCAAAAAGTTGGCATAGAAACTGAGAAAGAAACCTCTACAAGTAAAGGGCGTTAAAGTACAGTTTATAACAATTATGTTATTGTTATATTTTATAGCAATCTCCTCTAAAGCATCCCTTGTTCGCTAAGCGATTGATCAGCAAACAACACCACCGACAAAATGACCTAAAACCAAAGTACTTAGTCATAAATCTATTACCTGTAAACACAGAATCCCGATATTAGGCCGACTACACGGCATTCATACCTGGAACAAGGGTTTGTGCTTGTTTATAGAAGCGTAAAGAATGCTTTTCGCTGGCTTCGTCGAGCTGAACGAACGAAGCAACGAACCACGGGGCAACAACACACAGCAGCTTGTGTAGAGATCGATCGGAAGTAATTTGCATATTAATGATCCGGTTAGATAATGTATGCGTGTTTGCTTCACGCGAGCTGCCTTCTAGTGTACAAAAGATTCTCTTGACGTTTTGTTTCCCTGTTTGATTTGGTTCGATGGCTGATTTAGAATAGTACCAAGGCTTTAATCCAGTAAACAAAAGACATTTTATTCTAAGAATATCTTTTAGACGAGCTTATAATTAACGCTTTTAAAATAAAATCCAAGCCAAAAAAGAATCCTCGTTGATTCTTATTTATTTATTTTTCTTGTCCTGTTGTTGTTACTTTACATTATTTCTAGGCAGGAACGCTTCCCATGCCGATATGTCATTCTTTTTTCATAAAGTGATATCATCACGGCTTTTGTTCCAGGGTGGTTTTGTAATGCGAAAAGAATGTCAATAGTCTGTTTGTCATAGCGATTTTAATCCCTGTTGGTGTGGTGCGAATGTTTTTCGCAAAAACCCTCAAAAATGACGCTCTTTAGTCCACTCCATATTCGCTTCCATGTTAACTACTATAATCTAATCATTACCTTCAGTTTTCTCAACTCCAGCAGCTCCTGGTACAATTCTTTATTTTCTGCTTTTAATTTCTCAAGCTCCTGGACAGGAAAAAAGAGAATAATTATAGAAAGGAAAAAACATACATTACACGCGGAACAACGGTTGCGTGCTACAGAGTTTTCGAGTATGATCACACGTATTGCAGTAACATTTCGTGCAAAATGAATTATAAATGAAGAAAAAACTCTATCGCATAATATCAGAATGCAAAAATCGCATTTTCTTGGCAAAGACCACTTCAGCCTATGGTACGTCTTGCGCGCAACGTTGCGAAAGTAGTTTTTGATTCTATCTCTGCAAACATTCACTACTGTTAAAGCAGCGTACAACGCAGAGTTGGGCACATTTGCGCAACAGTTGCACCGTGTTTTTGGACCTTTGGTAGGGTAACTAGATTTACACAGCCCGGAGTAATTTTCATCCAGGTCCTTTCTAGATCGAATTAGAATTTAGAAATTGATTTTTGTGGAGGGAGGAAAACCGGAGAACCCGGAAAACCCTCGAAGCACAGGAGAGAGAACCAACAAACAACTCTACTCACATGCCTCGAGTACGAGAATCGAACCCGGGTCGCGTCGGTGAGAGGCGAGCGCTCTCACAGCTACGCTACCCGTGCTTCCCAATATTAACCAATTAACCAAGAATTCTAACTTTTCTTTTTGAACAAGAAAGAGAGACTTTACGACAGGTTCAGACTGACCTTGGCTATGTGGTCTGGTATGGTTCCATCGTATGACAAGTCAATCAGTTTTACCAGATCTTCTGTGGTTTGGATTTCCTGGCTGACCCCTGCTGCTGGTCCTGCCTGGGTTGCATGGTCAGACTAGAATACAATACAAGACTTTTAATACGTGGACTGAGGCCGCAGATCTCTTTATACCATCAACAATAGAAGCACCTTCACTCTTTTCTCCGTACCTAGTTCGATGTAACACATTCTTAACCCCACCTCTCCTATTCCCCTAGGGTCACCCTGGGCCTACTCTACCGTCCGATCAATCCTCTTACGTTGCGATACTAAGACCAGTGAGGATTAAATCGAAAGGGTGCACTGTATGCCGTGAGATGTAGTCCCTATTTTTCCTATCCTATGCTATCACAAATAAAGGTTTGAATAGCATTGGGAAGGTTTTTAAAGTTGTTTTTTATAATGGAAGTTTTATTTTATCAAATAGTCTCCTAAGCAGCCGCTATTAGTGTCGTCACGCAAAGATCTCTCCACTATAAGTAACTACTTTGGGGAGAGAACGTTGCGTGACGACACTAAGTAACTACTTTGGGGGAAGAGCGTTGCGTGACGACACTAAGGAATTACTTTGGGGAGAGAGTTGCGTGACGACACTAAGTAACTGCTTTGGGGAGAGAGCGTTGCGTGACGACAATAATAGCGCCTGCGTAAGTGACTATTTGCTATTTCAAGTTTAGTTTTTTAAAGTTTTTATGACACTGATTTTTACCTTGGTATATTCATCTATTAGTCGTCGTAATGCACTAGTTTCGATGCTTTCAGCTGGAGACACAGCTCCTTCACGTGCAGAGAACAGACTGTCAAGATCAGACTCGCCTAGACCCCAGTCTTGTACGAGTAACAGTCTTGTCTAAACAGGGATAAAGATTACACCACGGATATACGCAATTTATAACGGTACTTTATAAGTTAATTTTACAGGGAGGAACCAATCTATAAAAATTTTGTTTTAGCTTTTTAAGAAAGTCTTACTTTTAAAGAGCATTATTTAGAGGTGTTTTAAGTGTAGCATCATATTCATTTTGTTAAAACGAGTTGAAGACTCCGTTAACATGTTACAGCCTTATTTCTAACCAATAAGATAAACACGAATGTTTGTAGTAACTCCACTGACAGGAGTTTAGGATTTTTGGGGATTTACGTTTCAGACATTTTACTACATGATATAGAGGTTTGAAACCTCTACATCATTAACGATTACGCATCATTCACAATTTTGCAATAAATGATGATTATGATGATGACGATAGTTGCATCTGTGATGATGATGGTCGTGGTGGCGATGATGATAATCAATGATGATGACGATGATGATGATAGTCGTGGTGGCGATGATGATAATGATGTTCATGACGATGATGATGATGGTCGGGGTGGCGATGATGATAATCAATGATGATGACGATGATGATGATGGTCGTGGTGGCGATGATGATAATGATGTTGATGACGATGATGATGATGGTCGGGGTGGCGATAATTATGATGAAAAAGATGATGATGATGATAGTGTTGGTGATAATGAACAACATGATGAAAGTTGGATTGTGATTACGCCTATGTTGACGTTGTTTGACGATGATGATCAATGATGATGAATAAGACATATATTCTTACCCTTCCTTCACTAGGATCCATCTCAGACCAGTTGTCTCGCGCACTTCTTGACGTGGTAGCCCCTGATGGCAGATTCTCCTGGAACAAGGCATCAATACTGTTAGACCCAGTTGGTAATATCTATATCAGTCGTGTGTTTATTCACTAACCTCTTGTAGCTGGTTGATTCTATCTTTGAGCGCGGTATTCGAGTCGTGAAGCTTCTCCATTTGCTGCAACGAACACACAGTATCATCGTTTGCTTTTGTGCTAGTGAACAAGAAGTTCCTTAGACGCAAAACATGCCCAACAAAAGAAGAACACAAGCTACAAATAAACATATTTCTCCTCTCTTCTATCTTCGAGAACACACCTTTCTGTGATGGTTGTATTTAACATTAAAACAATAAATACATGTGTGTGTTAGTAATGGTGGTCAACCACATGGTATTGCCACACATTGTTATTAGTCATGTACTAACCACTAATAAACCATGGTTAATATTATCACTCTGTCTACATGTGTATTTATATACAGCAAGAAACCTTGATGTATGACGACAATCAAATACTGATCAATCAAAATAAATGCACGATTTAAAAAATATATGTTTGTTTACACTGAAAAAGATTAGAAGGTTAGTTTAAATGGATGATAAGGTTGATCATGATGCCTACCATGCATATTGGTGCATGATTCATGAATACGATATTAAGATTCATTCAATTCTATCCTTACAAAGGAAACCAGACCGCTTACTCCAGACAATTTTTTTAGTAAGTAAGAATAAGAGTAAGAAAGAATATTAATTAATTCTGACAGAATGGACAAAGATAAGTGAGAAAGAAGACATGGATTTCCAAATGGAATAAAAAAGATGTTACCATTTATTGGCCAGTAAAGTTAAAAGGAATTGAAGATAAATGTGTTTTGAATATCGTTATTATAGTTTACATATTGCAGTAGTAATAATATTATACAGACAGCATATGTTATAACCATTATGATCTACCGACCACAGTTTTTCAATACTCACCTCTTCTGCTTCTCTAAGCTGCTGAATCTTCTGTTTCAATAGCTGCAGTTCATCGTCTGACAAATCTCCTTTCTGAAAAAATTACCGCGCAGGAAATGATTTAGAGTCTCGTATTGTTCAAGCTGTGCCGCGTTTCATTATGAGTTTTACGCTATGTGATTTGCAGCACTTACTACAGACAGACATCGGATATTTTTTCTTTCCCAGTTTTCATTTTTTTTCCTTTTTCATTTTAAATAATCGTTTTTTTACCTCATCAAAAATCAGGGAGAAAATCGAAACGTTACTAGAAAATATTATTAACGTCAATATTTTGAATGATAAAAATACGGATCAAAGCATAGCAGGTCTAGCATTGGTTCGTACCATATGCTATACTTACGGCTTCATGCATAGCCAAATAATCTATCAAATTCTGAACATTCATTTCTCTCGTTTCGTCCGGATTTTCTTTTTCCAGATCTAGAACCGCTTCAAGTTGACTCATTTTTGCTCAGTTTACAGAAAGCAATTCGTTAAGTTGATGTTGCCGGCAGATTTCTTGGAGTTCGGGAAATCTTCATTTGAACATCTTCACCGCTCAAAGTTCGTTCCAAGATATTCATTCATCTTGATATAATTTAGATGTCAAGCTTGTCAGAGAATTCTTGACTTACAAACCACAGCTATCGAAGCCGAATTAATAGCAAAGATATTTGATTTGGGCTGTTTGCAAGAGACCTGTCGTGTTGTGAATACTAATCAGTTTATGGAGGAACATCGTCCAATCACAGGGCAAATGCTAATCAGACTCACAGGTAACCATATAATAATTACAATCATTCGTATTCGTTTGACGGTAACGACAATGATATTCTCAGAAAACCGCCTTATCAGCAATTAGTTTAGCTTTCAAGTTATTTAAAACGATTCAGAACCTTTTTCCTAGATCTTATTCAAACTAACGCAAACATTACAGAATCCAAGTGCATTAGTGATAAATGTATTTATGGTTGGAGCGAGACTTATATTGGGGCTGATCTCGATTGCTGCAGAAAGGGTCTCTTGTTGAAATGAAAAATGAAAACACATTCGATATAAACAGCATATTGAGGCTTTAATTGCGTGCGTGGGAGAAAAACACCCTCAAATTCGACCCTTAAGAAATATAAACTACAAGATCTTTCGCTTTATTGTGAAGGCAATTATCCGTAGTAAAGCAACAGCGATAGACGAAGATCTCTTAAAGTGAAAACTCTCTATACAATAATAAACATTTCAGACTAAATTGGTCCGAGCAATTGGCCAGTTGTCTGGGCTGCGCCGGCGTCAACATGCCCTGTCTTGATAATATATCACAACAAGTATACCAGATATATCCTATATGCATATTGTATGATAGCATGTCTTTTATGACTAGCAAAAAATGGATTTCCTTGTTTTTTGATTATGAATGCATCGATCTCAGTATCGCAGCTAATCGAAGCCTTTCCTATAGTTTACCTCAATGACGGAAAATATCGGATGCAACTAAACGCGATCAAAAGCACATCATATAAGGATCTATCATATAGAGGGATTCGCGACAGCCATGTTATGGGGAATAACAATAGAGATTTTTTCTTTGGAAATTGAAATCTTGTCATTCCTGCCCTACACGAGCCCTACACTGACATGGCATGAGGAACCATCGTTAAGGCACCATACCTATCACTGGGGCATGCGGGTAGGGGTCTATCACTAGGGTATTGTGATAGACATATTTGAGTGACTCACCTGGGCCACGAGTAGTTCCAGTTCCATGTTTCTAATCTTTAGTTGTTCATTTTCGTTTAGGAGATCAGCCATACTCTACCATCAATCATAAATAGAATGCGTCAAGTAAAGAAACATGGGGGCATTAGCAGCACTACTGTTAATGGAAACCATTTGTTTAAACGTTAATACTTATACTCAATTTATGACAATTACGTTTCTTCGTCCCTCACAGATCGTACTCTGAAATTACTTTTGGGCTAATCATTTTAGGTATTTTTAAAACTTCCAATAAGGTCTTATTATGGCGGAGACAATTACAGTCACACAATCTACTGAACTGCGACCCCCCTTTGCATGGAAGTCATGATATATATACATATAGTGCTAAATATACCGATACAAATTGTTTCCAGGTACCTTTGGTTGGTGTGGTTCCCCATCTTCTTCATCACCGTTTTCACGGATATCTGCTAGCATATCCTTCTCGGACTGTTTCCTCGCCATGACGTATCGATCAAACTGTGTCACAGCGCTCTCTCCCACAACGCTAGTTTGCATTGCATGATGTAGAGACTCCTCGCTTGGTGCGCTTTCAATATCTGACAGGTCAAATGTTTCATCCTGTGCAAGAGGAACACGAGGAGAATCCCATCTACCAAAACCAGAACCTACAATAAACAGAACACGATGTGTTTGATGCTTCTGTCTAAAATAATCAATTGATGATGAATAAAACATTAGCAACGCGGTGTTTGACTGACCTCTTGAGGGTGTCCTGTCTAATCCACTAATATCCAAGCTAGACGTAGACTGCCACCCGTAATCAAGATTCAACGACATATTACTACTATGCCTTTTACTATCCAGTGAATATCTCTTGTTGCCTTGGTCACGGCGGCTTGTCACGTCAGGGGTGGACGAATTCCGTGCGCCGTGTCTTAGAACAACTTTTACTGGCTCGAATCCCTCTGAGGAAAGACAAAGATATACAAAATAAAAGACATGATCGATGAAAATGACTATCAGAAAGTCGGAGTCGTTGTTATACCTTTACTCGCTTTGTTAAATTCTGAAATAAACCACTTGGTATCGACAGAGCCACCATTTTGCTCGTGTTGCTCGCGAATAAGAGATAACAGATCCTTCAAATCACACTGAATACCGATCTCAACAGTATCAACACCCCTTGCGTCTCCATCACAACCTCTATCACCATGACGACCAGTATCACCATGACGACCATTGATGTCTCTATTTTTCAGAGGATATGACGATTCAAGTAGATCTTGACTGGTTTGTGCTGTTACTTTCTCTGATATTCTCTTCTTTGTGTCTGCAGCATTATTTGCAAGGTTTTCAATACGTTTCAGATCAGATCGTGTCATGTCTGTTTCTACTGACTTTTCTATCATACTGTTTCTTATTCTTTCTTGTTCTCTGTACCACCGTTCAATATCTTCAAGATATTCTATACTCGAGACTACCAAGTCTGTTACCGTGCTGTATTTTCGTTTAGGTTTCTGTAGTTGTTCGAGTCGCGATAAAATACCTCGATCTTTTAACTCCGTATAAATATTACCCGACTTCTCGAGATTTTTTAAGTTTTCTAATGACAACTCCGTCATTAGCGCGCAATCACGCCTTTTCTCTTTCTTTATTCTCTTTTCTTCTGTCAACTGTGATACTATCTCCTCAAGCTCCTCACCCTTAGCTGCCATTTCGTCAAGGTTGTCAAGATGTCTTCCCGTGACTTCAGTCATCAAGTTAACATCTTCCGTCTCCTTTGTAACAGATTGTCTAAATGCTTCGTACTCTCGTACGATCTCTTTATGAGCGACGGCCACCTCTTCCAGGTATTCTAATACAGGAGCTGTTAACTCAGTACCTACACCCATATCACTAGTGTCTGTTCTACTACTAGAGATATCGTTATCCACTGTTGTCATACACTGCTGGTGAACTGCTTCTACTTCCTCCATGTAGTGCAGGTCTGCAAGCATCAAATCAGTCGTGGTACCTACAGGAACACTCTTCCTCGAGCCACACTTTTTGTGAATTGACTCAACCTCTTCTAGGTACTGTAGGCGGTCCATACTGACGGCTGTAGAGACTCCTTCGTCAGGAGACAGAGCCTCCTGTTGTGTAAGAAGAAGGTTCTTGTACTCGTTGTCAGCATCCTGTAAGGATTGTATATCATCAAGGCTCATCTCTGTCTCTGTCGCTTTGTTAGTACTGTTCTTATCCCTGTTCATGGCATCATATTGTTCAGACAACTGCTGGTGACTTTCTTGGAGCTCACGATAATCTAGTTCTAAATTCTCATAGTATTCTAAGTCATCTAACGTGAGATCAGTGGATGTTCCCAGCTCGCTTTTAGCCTTCTGTCTGCCGTACAAGTCCAACGAGCCATGTAACTGAGCAGTTTCCAAATGTTCTTTTTCTGATAACAATTCGCTATATTTTTCTTTCAAATTCTCATAATATTTTTGATCATCTGGTCCTAGTCGCATTTTAGATTGCGCAGCTTCATATTTCTCTTTCTCCAACAGAAGCTCATTTAATTGTTCTTTCATATTCTCATGATCTTCTTGATCCACTGAAGTAAGTCTCTTTTCAGCTTGCGCAACTTCCCACTGCTCTTTCTCTGATAACAATTCTTTATATTTTTCTTTCAAATTCTCATGGTCTTCTCGATCAGACTGCACAGCTTCCCATTGCCTTTTCTCCAACAGAAGCTCATTTAATTGTTCTTTCATATTCTCATAATCTTCTTGATCCACGGACGTCAGTCTTTGTTCATTCTG